ACTGCAAACAAGCACTAGAATGCTACATTGTGAGTACGCATCTCATTTCTCTAGCAACTCAAGATGGTGACTTGCCACCATGTGTGTCGTAAGAAAACTATAAATTTAGTAGCTTTTGGGTTACTAAGAGATACAATCCCAAAGGAACAGACCACCACCTCTCCTTCCAGCTCTTAGGAATTCATCCCATCGACTTCAGTTGTGTAGTAGCACTGGATGGGCAGAAGACAGGCTTGTAGTTCAAACAGACCTGTTTGGGTTTAAATTCTAGCTTCACTCACTAGCTGGATCACTCATTATAAATTAGTTTGCTTATAATTCAAGGCAGATCCAGCAGGACATTTAAAGTGCCGCCTACCTCCATCACGACTAACAATATCCGTTCAGATGTACAGAGACACCTTTTCCTTATGACAAGAACACCAGAGCTGGCAAGGCCTTGCCTAGAAGCCACTGAGAATACTCTATTGCTCTACGACAGTCTGTGGCTCACAGAGGCTGATGTACTTGACAAAGCTTTCAGAATTTTGCAGCTTCATTTTCTTGACCACCAGCTTGGTTTTTGGACAGATTTCTCCACCATCTCCAAGTTTTCCCAGAAGCCTCTTGTCAGGTGCCTTAGTGGGCTAGTTCCTCTACATCTTACAGCAGGCTCAGATACAATCCCTTCTCAAGTGACCAGATTGCACAAACTGGTAAAACACTTCCTAAATCCCTTCCTCAAAAACAAAACGAGTTCATGTGTACTATTATTTTAATGTGGACTATGGCAGAGTCACCCCCCTCCCAAACAGTTCAAATCTACCTTGGCTGATCCCAGATAATGGACTGGCTAGGCAAGTTTAAGCTGCTAAGCCACAAACTGCATGAATCTTCCTTAGCCAGGGCCTCTAAAAGCCCAGTATTCTGGTGCTACCTCCCCAGTTTCTAATGGCTTACAGTTTTTCTGTTGGTTCTAAACTAGGTGTCAAACAGGAGTACAAAGGAGCTTTGCCCAAACACAGTCTCTGCCCACAGGAACTTGTAACCTAACGAGGAAAAAATATGTAAAAGCCTGCCTTCCTCCCCGGCCCAAAAAACTGCACAGTCTGATGCCAAAGGAAAAAAAAAACACACACACACAAAACTGGAGACTGGACCTACCAAGGTCAAGGTGGCGGGACTGTGGGCTCCGAAAACCAGGCAAGCAAGGGAAAGACAAGCAAGATCCTCTTACATGGGCTAAAGACTTTGGAGAGCAATGCAATATTTACTGGAAGAGCAGAGGAATGCAACAATAGGAATTGGAATGAAGTCTGTAAGAACAAGATAGTTGGCTTAAGTGGAGGTCAGAGAAACCAGTGGAGAGTTACAAAAATTTTCAGAATCCAACTGGAATAGAGTCCCACTCTCCAACTAGAGAAGAAGATAGACACTCAAGAGAACGCAAAACAAATTCCAAAGGCATAAGCCTACCTACCAGAAATGGCAGGATGGCTGGTGGGGAAAGTGGATGATAGTCACATATTGGTTTAGGTGAAGTTCAGCTTGAAATGATGCAAACTTCAGTCAGTGTGGAGCTAAGGGTCTGAAGGGAAAGGCATGTCGGTCAGGAAAGGCAATGCCGAAAAGGAAAATAAACTGTTACACCCAGGACTCCAGCAAACACCTGCCAGAGCTCAAGAAACACCCAGGGGGGCCTCCCTGATGGTGCAAGGGATTAAGTCTCAGCACTATGAAGCAATCCTCAGCCACTGCAGCATGAGTTTGATCCCTGGCAAAGGAGCTGATCCACAAGGCGCAGCAGACCACACCTGTCTTGCCTGCTGCTCCCCTCAGCAGTGTATTTCAGTCAGTCCACCTGTTCTGCTCCCCACTCTGTCTCTGGTAAATCCTCTCAGCCTCCCTGCATCTCTGGCCTACACCCCAGTTCTTGTATGCATAAATAGATAAATCTTAAAAAAAAAAAAAAAACTCCCAGAGGGCCAAAGGCTGTCCCTTACCCCAACCCATAGGCAGGTTGATAGAGTGAGAAGTTACAAAGAGGGGGAGGTAGACCCCTCCCTCCACCATTAATCCAACACCCTGGGAGTGCCTGCACAGTAAACCTCAGGAAGACTCAATCTGGTCACTTGAGACTGAATGAGCAGTCTTCTGCACCCCATTTAAGCGAGCAGTTCCCCGTCTTTACTTGCAGTTGTCCCCGTACTCTGCTGACCCAGGACTCTGCTTAGGTGTACTTTCATTCTGTCTCTAAAAACAACTTCGCTTTTCCTTCATCTAAAGACATGGCTGTGAACTCTTACTTAGCCATAGTCAAAGGCCAAGGAACCCCCAAACACAAAAACATCTAGGAACCTCAAAATCTGAAAACACCGGGCTCTCAACACAGAAAAAGATCACATCCCATGGGGACTACTTGGAACAACAGACCATGATTAGACTGTTGAAACTACTTAAAATCTTCAATTCTGGTATAACTTAATGCTTTATATACTCAGTAAATAAGTCAAAAAAGATGGTGGGTAGGGGAATCTAAAATGGTCTCCAAATAACAAAAAGGATACAGACCTTCAAATTGATATCACCCAGCAACTTGATACCATCCAAACAACTTGACTATGTTAAAAGAGCTACAAAAAATGTCTTATAGAAACCCAACATTTTTTTTTCTCTTAAATTTTATTTTTATATTCCCCCATACAATTGCAAACGCCCCATTCTGACCCCAATCCTTCCCCTCCTGCCCCCACCCCCCAAAAAGTGTCTCTGGTTCGTAGTTTTTTTGATTTTGATTTTCACTTTCTTATATTCATTTTCCTGGTCCCTTATTTAAGTTTCTAGATTCCTGCTATGAGTGAGACCATCCGGTATTTTTCTTTTTCTTTCTGGCTTATTTCGCTGAGCATGATCCCTTCCAGCGCCATCCATGTTGCTGCAAATTGCATGTGTTTATCTTTTTTGAATGCTGAGTAATATTCCATGGTATATATGTACCACATCTTCTTGATCCAGTCATCTATTTTTGGGCATTTGGGTTGTTTCCAAAGCTTAGCTATTGTAAACAGTGCTGCTATAAACATAGGGGTGCAGGTGCTCTTTGGAATTGATGTTTCTGTGTCCTTTGGGTAAATACCTAGGAGTGGAATTGCTGGATCATATGGAAGCTCTATGTTTAGTAGGTCCAGAAATCTCCACACAGCTCTCCATAGTGGTTGGACCAGTTTGCACTCCCACCAACAGTGCAAAAGAGTTCCTTTTTCTCCACACCCTCGCCAACATTTGTTGTTGCTAGTTTTTTTAATATGTGCCATTCTCACTGGTGTCACATGGTATCTCATGGTAGTTTTGATTTGCATTTCCCTGATTACAAGTGATGTTGAACATTTTTTCATATGCCTGTTGGCCATTTGCATTTCCTCTTCAGAGAAGTTTCTTTTTAGCTCTTCTGCCCATTTTTTGACTGGATTATTTTCTTTCTTGTTGTTGAGTCTCATCAGCTCTTTGCAGATTTTTGTGATCAGTCCTTTATCATTAGTGTTGGGTGCAAAAATGTTCTCCCAGTTGGTGGGGTTTCTCTTTGTTTTTGTTATTGTCTCTTTTGCTGTGCAGAAGCTCTTTAATTTGATGTAGTCCCAGTTGTTTATCTTTGTCTTCACTATCACTGCTTTGGGTGATGTGTCTGTAAAGATGTCTTTGATGTGCAAATCCCGTAGTGTAGAAACCCAACATTTTGCAATCAACATAAAGCAGCTGACGGAGGTAAGAATCATCGGTGGATACTAAAAGCACTGAAGTTTGTTAACAGCTTAAAGAGTGCCCCCCACCCCAGATCAGTTATTAAACACAAAGAGAAAGTGGTAACCTCTGCAGCCAAGTGGTGAGTCAATGTCATCGATTATGGGCAAACCTAGCATCCTGTGCCTCCTAATGTGACACACAGGAAGAAACACTCCTAAGTGTCACTTACCTGAACCTATACATGTGAAAACAAACATACAAACCCAACTTGAAGGACATTCTACAAAATAATTAGCAAACATTCTTCAAAAATGTCATGGTCACAAAAGATAATGAGCCTTGTTTCCTAGGAAATAAACACTGACATTTTGAGAGACAAAGAGTCATGATTCTGCAACTCTGACTCTCCACTGGGTAACTGACAACAAACAGCACGTTTTTACGGGAAAGATGAAACAAATGTCAATTCTGTTAAAACTGGAGAATCTAGCTGAAGGGCATATAACTCTTCCAACATTTCTATAGGTCAAAAAGTTTGACCTATAGAATAAAGTTTGTTTTTCAATCTGAACACAAAATTTCCAAGAAGAATGTAATATAGAGTACTACACCTTACTCACGGTCTATTCTGCTAAATACACAATTGCAAACATCTCACCTAATGTTCAACTTTAAGCAGGAGTTAATGAATAGGGCATATTTCAATATTATTTATTTATTTATTTTTTTTATAGAGGCATATTTTATTTATTTATTTATTTGTTTATACATGCACTGGGTACAGTCAGAAGCGCGGGAGGGTGAGAGAATTCACCAGAGCCAGAGCGGGGAGCAGAGCAGGCAGAAGGACCGAAGCACACTGCTGAGGGGAGCAGCGGGCAGCAGGAGAGGTCTGCGCGCCATGTGGGACCCTCCTCTGGTGGCCTGGGAGCAGCCGGGGATTGAACCGGCACTGCAGAGGCCGCGGGCTGCGTCGCAACCCAGCGCTCAACCGCTGCGCCACCGGGGAGGCCCTATTTCAATATTATTTAAAGACAAAGAAACTGAAGCCGAAGTAGTACCTTGCCCTAAAAACTTATTAACTCACCTTTGGAGAAAAACTCATTCTTGGTAGAAATAAAACAGACGTTTCAAATAAGGGTCAGATCCAGTGACATTACTATATACTGTTTTCTCAATTTTTTCAGATTTCTACCATAAAAAAATATAATTTATGTTCAAAAAAATCAGTTCAGATTTTTAATGACACAAAAGACTACAGTAAGGCATAAATGAAATTATTCTAGAATATAATACTTAATCATTCCAAGTTATTACTGGTATTTAGAATCTCAGGTTTCATGATTGCAAAAGGCAGGACGAGTAGCAATGACCAGGGAGTAATTAGTTGCTTGCTGATATTTCTTTGATTCATTTACAATGGAATATTGGCGTGTTTCCTCCAAGGTCGTTGTACCTTCTTGCTGACCAAGACATCCAGGTCATGACAGATTCGGGCACGTGTAGAGGAAGGTTGAATGATGTCATCCACAAATCCTGGTGAAGCAAAGAAAAAGATCATTTCTATCCCCAGCTGAGGCCATCCCTCAAGCTTATGCTCACACTGGGCACCATCTTTGAGACCTAAAGTGTGAAAATGGATTAATCCTATGAGCCCTCTTTTGTATCCCAAGAACTCTCCCATTTCTCTGGCAGGTCCACAATTTCCAGTGTAGGAACATTTGTCAAGGAAAGGATAATTTGACTCACACTTTGCTAAGATGAATTCAATAGGAAATAAAATGATAAAAATACACTTGTATTTGAAAAAGCAGCTCCAACAATTCCTCCCATCCTATACAGAAACCCCTCTGCAATGTCACTTTGCCACTCTTCTCATCAAGAAGTGGATTCTGTTTCTTCACATGACTGTAACTTGCATTGACCATAGCACATGCCAAAAGTGACACTCTACAACTACCAAACCTAGGCCTCAGGGGCCTTACAGCTTCGCCTCTCATCGCCCACAGGACACCATGTAGAAAGCATGGACTGGCCAGCAGATGACTCTTTCAGTGAAGCCTCCAGAAGACTGCAGTTGCCTAATTAGTCCCAGGCAAGACCAGCAGAAGAACCAATCAGCTAAACGCAGACCAAATCAATGACCCCCTGAACCGCGGGGGCAAAGGTAGGGACAGGGAAGGTGACTGTCTGAAGTCATTGTGTTTGGTGTGGACTTTCATACAATACTAGGTAACTGGAACAGCACTAAGAAATTTAGCCATTTCAGCTAATTGTTTTGATCCTGGTTACTGAAGCAGCCTATATAGATCCAACTGTCCTTAAGTGATGATGCCCGGGAAAATCCCAACCTTCACCAGCCTCCAAATTTGACTGTAAAAGCAGAATTATGTGAGACTTTTGGAGTATAAGAAAGTGCAAGTGACCCAACAAATGAACAGAGCAGCTTTCCCCATCATGGTCCCTACCTCTCACTGCTGCAGGAAAAGGATTGGCGAACTTCTCAACATACTCTGCCTGAGCAGCTTCCACATTCTCGTGCCCCTTGAAGATGATCTCCACCGCACCCTGTCACGAAAGGAGCTGGTCAACGTCACTGGAGATCCCCACCTAGGCAGAACTCCCTCACAGTTACCACCACGCATAGTTATGAATTTGTAGGTAAATCAAAGTGTACTAGATAGAAGTGTGGGCCACCAGGTGTAGGCCATCATGATTCCAGGGGTTGTGTGACAGGACACTCAACTGTGATCCCAAAAATGCCCTCCCAGGCAAAGCCAAGAGCTTTCCATCCTACCCTCTCCAACAGCAACTTATCCTTTCTTGAAGCCATGATGTTTGGCCCATTTTCCACTATTAGATCCATGGTTCCCTACATCAAGGGGAAGAAAATGCTGTTTTCTTTTTTCACTATCCTGATCTCTGAGTATGCAAAACAGTGGCCAGAAGAGACCAAGCTGCAAATGATCAGCAGGAGGCACTGCAAGATGGGCCTCATGTCAGAATCCCTAAAAATCCGCTCTGGTTGCTCCTGAAAGTTATATGGTTCAACCCCAACAACTATTTTTCAAAGCAGGAAAAGAATGGGGAAAAAGCTGAACAATAGGAAATACCTTGCCCAAAGCTGCCAGGGCCAGAACTACAGTTCTACTTCATGGGCTGGAAGAAGTGGTTCCAGGACCCTCAGTGGGAGGGAATGTCCAGTCCTCTCAAAGGTTAGTTGAGTGAACCCTGATGATCTCCTAACTCACTATGGGCCCTTCCCACCCTGAGCATGAAGATTCCAGCTTAGACTGCAGGACAGGGGGCCTCCCTGGTGGCACAAGGGTTAAGACGCAACCTATAAAGTTATTCGCAGCCACTGCAGAGCGAGTTCGATCCCCAGCCAGGGAGCTACCCATATGGTGCAGCAGACCTCTCCTGACTCGCCCACTGCTCCCCTCAGCAGTGTATTTCAGTCAATCCGCCTGTCCTGTTCCCCACTCTGTCTCTGGTGAATCCTCTCCCCGCACTCCCCCCCCCCCCCGCCGACACACACCTCTGGCCTGTACCCCAGTTCTTGTATGCATAAATAAATCTTACAAAAAAAAAAAAAAAAAGACTGCAGGACAGGAGACAGCACTGACCCCAGGGTTCCAGGAGGGAGGCCTGCCAAGGTCTAGACCGCAACTCCGTGGAGTGCTAGCCCAGCCTAGGGACCCTGACCTATCTCCAGCATTTCCTTGCTGTGCTTTGAGCTCCTTGCTAGGAGATACAGTACCTGGACCAGGTAAAGGTAAAGCTAGAAGCACTCACCTTTGCTCCCATGACTGCAATCTCCGCAGTAGGCCAGGCATAATTGGTGTCACCACAGAGGTGCTTGGAGCTCATGACATCATAGGCACCACCATAGGCCTAGAGCAGACCAAATGCTGAATGTCAGAGCCTGAGTCAACCAGATCATGTCCCTGAAACACACTAGGAAGCCATGAAATGAGTGCCCTGGGGGCTGCTGAAGGCCCAAGGGCTGTGGGCCAGGGGAAAAAAGCATATAATGCCTGGCTCAGCCCAGAGACCTTTCAGTTATTGTTCATTGCCTTTCCTGGCTTTTTCCCACTGCTGCTCTGAGTTACCAGAGATGATGAAGGGACTCTCTGTAGGGTGAGTTCGCAGGGCTGTAAATGCTATCCCCAAGAACTCAGTTTAAAGCTGAGTGAGGTGCACTCCTTCTTCAACCCTGTTGAAACATTTGGCCAGAACTCCATTCATGACCAGGCTGCTGAGTAGGTGGCTCCAAGCTTCCATCTGAGTTCCTCACCTTCCTGGTGATGACTGTGACTTTGGGCACTGTTGCCTCAGCAAATGCGTAGAGAAGCTTGGCGCCATGCCGGATGATGCCCCCATATTCCTGTGCCGTGCCTAGGTCACAAGGAAAAGTTACTGGACACTCATGAACACCCCCACAAGATCTGCCAGCCACACTCAGGTATGAGGTTTCCTCCTGCCTCCCACAGGGTCAGGCCAAGGCCATGCCTCACATAATCCTAGAGAGACACCTGAAATATGGAAAAGTCACAAATCCTTAGGGAATTTAGCAAGATCTCCAAATAAAGTGGGTGCCTCACTGGGCAAAGCTACCTCTCCTGGCCCCCACCAACCAATGACTTACCAGGCAGAAAACCAGGGACATCAACAAAAGTGATGAGTGGAATATTGAATGCATCACAGAATCGAACAAAACGAGCTCCTTTCACAGATGAATTAATATCCAAACATCCTAGAAAGAAAGAGATGATGTATGCTGAGCTTCTGGGCAATTTTAAATTTAAGTTCCACCCACAATGGGAATATGCCCGCAACAACCACCCAGAGCTGGTTTCAATGAAGTCACCCAAGTCTCCTATCAGAGAAAGGTAAAAGGGAACCCTCGCACTCCAGAGGAGGAAAAAAAAAAAAAAAAAAAACAGACAGGAGAAGCAACCTGGTTACAGCCCAGGAGTGACCTTAGCCCCACAGGCAGTCTTGCTAGGATAGCCCAGTGCAGACAGCCAGGCTCTACCCTGCCAAGTAAATGGCCTGCAGCCACGGAGGCAGAGCCTGCTGGCCCCACCGGCCCCATCTGTGGAGGGAGCACTCAGGAGCCGGTCTTAGTGAGTCACCATGACCTGGAGTCAGTTTCTGGTTCTGGTAATTACAGCTTATGGCCCCTTGGGAAATTACTTTCCCATTTTGAGCCTGAGGTTCCTCACCTGCAAAGCAGAAATGTTACTCCCTCCTACTATAGTTGTAAGATTTAAAGGAGAAAGTATACAGTGGCAAAGAGACAGCTCAATCACTAGCAAATCTGCCTTCCTAGAACAGTTCCCAACAGGTTCTATCTATGAGCGCAACATCATCCTGATACCAGATGAAAGGACATTAAAAGAGAAGAATACAGAATCTCATAAGCCAGGCCAGAATTCCTCAGATATTAGTCATCAAATCCAACAACGTATACAAACACTAATAATGCATCATGATTAAGTGGTTTATCCCAAGAATTCAGGTTGATTTAATATGTGAAATTATTTTTTTAAAGATTTATTTATTTATGCATACAAGAGCTGGGGTACAGGCCAGAGGTGTGGGGGGTGAGAGGATTCACCAGAGACAGAGCGGGGAACAGAACAGGCAGACTGACTGCAATACACTGCTGAGGGGAGCAGTGGGCAAAACAGGAAAGGTCTGCTGCGTCATGTGGGCAGCTCCCTGGCCAGCCAAGGATCGAACCCACACTGTAGAGGCTGCTGACAGATTCACAGCACTGCGCTCAACCCCTTGCACCACCAGGGAGGCCCATGTGAAATTATTAAAGAAGAAAACTCACAGGGTCATGTAAAAAAAAAAAAATCTAACAAAATTCATTATTTATCGATAATTAAAAACTAGAAATAAGACTAGGATTTCAGTGGAACTTCTATAATACAATAAAAGGGTATCTACAAAAAAAAATGTATGTTCATGCATGGAAATGTTCTCTACATGTGCTATCTGCCAGCATGGCCATGAGCCACATGTGGCTATGGAGCACTGGAAATCTGGCTTGTACCACTGAGGAATTAAGTTTCTGATTTTATTTAATTTCCATTACCTATTTCTAATATTCTAATTACTTAAAATTTAAAGTTTGGGTTTTTTTTTTCCATTCATAGGCTTTAGGCAACAAGTGTATATTGAACATTTGCTATGTCCAGGCCCAATACCCAAGCAACAAACAAGGCAGACTAGGTGTCTGTCCTCATATGCTGACAGTGTGGTAGAAGGCACAGGCAGTGAACAAGACAGTTTTGGGTACAGGGATCTGGAGTCTGAAGAGTCCCTTTCAAGGTGCGATATTTGAGCAGAAATCTTCCAGGGCAGGTATGAACCCTTATCTTTCGATGGGCAGAGTGGCCTGGTTCTACAAGTGGACTCGATAGAATCACAAGGGTCCTTTTATAAGAAGTAGGCCAGAAGGTCAGGCAGAGGAGAGGAAATGCCAAGAGCAGGGTTGGGCGGTGGCACTGCTGGCCCTAAAGATGAGGTCAGGCCACAAGGCCAGGATGGATACTCCCTGGAGCCTCCAGAAGGGACCCGGCCTAGCTACACCTCGATTCCAGCCCAGAGAGACTCTTTTGGACTTCAGATCTACAGAATCTAAGGTGATAAATTTTCACTGTGTTGCCTCCCTGTGTGACACTGGTCATGGTGGTGTGAGGGATGAGCAGAGCCCTCAAGCCTGTGGTGTTGTTCAGTGGGAGCAAATGCCAGGCACACTGGGAGGAAAGATGGAAACTGTGGGGACTTCTTTAGTGGGCTGTGGGTGCAGAGGGCAAGGAGAAAGCCCCAGTGTTTCTGGAATTGAGGTGGGAAGGCAGAAAGTAGTTTGTAGGGCCTCACAGGGTAGTGAGCGCGGGATTTAAAGTTTAAAGGTACCATATTGGACAGCTGTATTTTCAAGGAATTACTATCAAAATCATAGAAAATTATTTTTAAAAACTGGTAAGATTCTAAAATTCACGGTAATAAGGTAGAATAGTCAAAACAGTATTCAAAAAAGAAAAAAAGAAAAACTCTTGGCATACCATACAACTGATAAGGGACTGATCACAAAGATATACAAAGAACACACGAAACTCAACAAGAACAAAGTAAACAATCCAGTCAAGAAATGGGCAGAGGGCCTCCCCAGTGGCACAGCAGGTTGACCACAGTGCTGTGAAGCTGTCCGCAGCCTCTGCAGTGCTGGTTCGATTCCCAGCCGGCCAGGGAGATTCCCACATGGCGAGGCAGACCTCTCCTGTCTGGCCCGCTGCTCCCTTCTGCCTGTTCTGCTCCCTGCTCTGTCTCTGGTGAATTCTCCCACCCTCCCGCACCTCTGGCCTGTATCCCAGTGTTTGTATAAATAAATAAATCTTTAAAAATTTTTTAAAAAGAAAAAGAAATGGGCAGAACTTAAAAGACACTTCTCCAAAGAGGAAATGCAAATGGCCAACAGACATATGAAAAAATGTTCGGCATACCTTATAACCAGGGAAATGCAAATCAAAATCACAATGAGATACCATCTTACACCAGTGAGAATGGCACATAGCCAAAAAACTAGCAACAAATGTTGGCGAGGATGTGGTGAAAAAGGAACTTTCCTACATTGCTGGTGGGAGTTCAAACTGGACCAACCTCTATGGAAAGCTGTCTGGAGGTTCCTCAGTCTACTAAAAATGGAGCTACCATACGACCCAGCAATTCCACTCCTAGGGATCTACCCAAAGGACACAAAAACATTGTTTCAAAAAAACACCTGTAGCCCTATGTTTATTGCAGCACTATTTATAATATGTAAACCCTGGAAACAATCCAAATGCCGAAAAATAGATGACTGGATAAAGAAGATATACACACAATGGAATACTATTCAGCAATCAAAAAAGATAAACCCATGCCATTCACAGCAACATGGATGGAGTTAAAAGGAATTATGCCAGTGAAATAAGTCAGAAGGAAAAAGCAAAATATCAGATGGTTTCACTTATAGGAGGCATATAAAGGAAACAAATAAGACATTGGGAAAAAATAATAACAGTACAAAACACAACACAACAAAGCAAACACAAACAGACAATTATAAACTAGAGACATCCTGCAGGGGAGGAGGAGAGAGAAGGAGCAGAGGGAGGGAAGAGCACAGGGGACTGGGGTGATGGTGCACAGGTGAATTGGTCAAGGAAATTCTATGGGGACTACACCTGACGTGGTGGGGGCGGGGAGGGGGGCGCGGAGCAAACATTGTTTAAACATGAACAATGATGTAAAATACATACAAATTTAAAAAAGAACAGAAGTGGAAAATGCGTGCCAGCTGACCAACTTACAAAGCTAACAACATTCACAGTATTCATTTTGGACCAGAGAGTATGGTACTCGGTGTATGCTTCATACATATGGGATGTTTAGCAGCTCAGTGTCCTCTACCTACTAGATGCCAGTAGCATATCCTCCCTTCCCCCCATCCCTTCAAGTGGCAACCAAAATTGTTTACAACAATGCCAAATGTCCCTGGGATATCAAAATTGCCCCAAGTTAAGAACCTGAGAACTAAACAGTTACAGTGAATAAGACCCTATGGCATAGGCATAAAGGTAAAGACAGCAGTCAAAGAAAACAACTGTGAATAAAGAGACCCACACAACTGACTATACCAGATGCCAAAAAAGTCAATGTAGAAAGAAATCTTTTTAACAAACAGTAAGGAAACAATTAAACATCATGTAAAAAAAATGAAAAAGACCTCAGTTTCACTTTACAAACTAGATACAAAAACTAAAAAAGGATCAGAGATCTTAACATGAAACTCAGAAAAACAAAGCACCTAGAAAATAATCCAGAATTATCTTTGCAACCTTGCAGTAGGCAAAAATCTTGGACAGAACAAAGTTCTAATCCAAAGTTTAAAAAAGGGGAATTTTATAATTTTTTTAATGCGAGTTAAAAGACACCATAAATTGAATAAGCAAGTCACAGACAAGGAAAAAATTTGCTGTATATTATATATATGAATGAATGACAGGGACTCCCACCCAGAACATATAAAGAAGAGTAGAAATCAATAAACAGCCAAGCAACTTACAAAAAAAAAAAAAAGGGGGGGGGGAGCCAATAAGGAAAACCTCCCTCTTGTTGAATAAGTTTTCTGAGATGCTAGAAATGTTCTATATCTTATTTTAGATGGTAATTACAAGGGGGTATACAATTGTCAAAACCCACAAAAATGAACATTTTAAAGCGGCATTTTATTGTACATAGATTTTGTTAATGAAAGAAAAATCTTTAAAATCTCCACCCTCTATATTCAAAGTCTACATTAATAATCTGAAATAACAAATCTGAGTAATGAGTCCAAGGATGAAGACAATTCTAAATTAAGAAACTGCAAAATATACAGAAAGGCTATCATAAAAGTCAAACAGGAAAAAAAAAAAAAAGATTAGTAACAACCAAAACAAACACAATCCCTGGGGAAATGAACACAATCAGAAATGGAAAACCTATGGCCACACATGTCATGCAGGCTTGGCCTTTTCATGTTATGCACTGGTCCCAGGCCTGTCAGAGGACCCAGTGAGTCCCAGCTAATTCCTACACGAAAAAAAAATGAGAATGAGTCCTCTGTGAATCTCTGAAGCTAACTTTTAGTAACAGGCAATGAAAAGTCAATGAAATGTATGAGGTTTTCTTCAAAATAACAGTGACCTCCAACCT